GTGAGGTGGTACTATTAACTTGAATGGATCACTTTTTGTGGCGGTTCTGCCTGATACTGTATCATTTTTGCTGTACTGAGAAGCAAAGCATTGCAGCTGCACTGTTATGTACCATTCCCTTTGGTTGATGATGCACAGCATAGGTGGGCATGAAAAACGTGTACCTGGTTTTATGGCCATCCACATGAACAAGGACTTGGGGCTTATTCACACCAGCCTGTTTGCTGAAACGTTGTGGTCTGGTGTCCATGTGAAGGGACAAATGAAGACAAGTCTGTGCATTGCAGCATGTTGACATGTGGTACCGTGAGTAGCGCTTTGTAAAAAAGCAGCATGTCTGCAGTTTTGTGCACTTCACTGCAGCATTGTGGTGTGAACGGGACACATAGAAAACTAATGTTCTCTTTGTGCTCCAGCATTAAACATACGTGGATGTGTGATCACCACAGATGGTGTGAATGGAACCACAATGCACATTCAGGCCCCACTCACACTTGCAAATGTGGCCGTTAGCCATTACATGAGGGAGGCCCAACAGGGGTTTTCTGTAATTAGCAGACTGTTTTCATCCAGGGCCAATCACTGGCAGGTAATCACTCCATTAGCAGCTTTCAGTGGGGCTGCCACCCGCAGCTAATCACCGAGAACCCCTGATGGGTCTCCCACATGTAATCACCAAGAGCCCCATTCACAAGCTTAAATGGGATTTTAAGGTAGATGCATACAAAAAACAGGAAGTGCCGGAACAAGGACCATCATGACAGGATCAACATGTATTCAGTCATTGTCCTGTTGGAAGGTTGAAAATTTCAATCGGTATGAATACTTTCTTAAGGCACTGTATATGCAGTAAAGCATGCTTAATATACTCGCTGTGGAACCTAAGGGGTTAAATGAGATTTTAAGGTAGGTACATACAAAAATGAGGAAGTGCCAGAATAAGGACCATTATGACAGGATCAACCTTTATTAAATCTTAAGCTGTACCCCAGGAATTCAGCCACTTTGTTATATTTGTTGGCTTACTATGAGTTAGTGTTACTAAACCCACAACAGTAAAATCAGTCTGTATATGCAGTAAAGCATGCTTGTTACACTCACTGTGGAACCTAAGGGGTTAATCCTTTGCATTGTGTAAAAATGCTGTTTGATCTTGACTTCTCTGATCCTCCCCATCTTCCAGTGCCCCCCTCTTCTCTCCTGATAAGACCTATGTGTGGAGACACTCTGCTCATGCTCAGTTTTGTGTGTATTGCTAGAGAGGTGTTTTGTTTTGTTTTTTTTCTTGGGAGAGTGTATGTGATCAGCACAGGGCCAATTAGCACTGTCCAGACAAAAGGTCAGGGGTTCTGCATCCTCCTAGAGCAGAAAAAAAAACTCATCCTACAAGCTTTAACCGGTGCTCTGCTGAACACTGATAGAAGTCACAAGACTGCTCTAACTGCTGATGAGAAAAGGCATTTAGCAGTTTATATTTACTAGTAAATAAATATAGTGCAGCGCTAAAAATAACAAACACAAAGTTCGATCTAGAAAATTCGATCTGAAAAGTTCGATCTGAAATTGGTAATCAAATGTTCATTAAATCATCAAATGTAATAAATTGGACACCGCTATGAAGAATCCGGAACAAATGGCAGAAATGCGCACTCACCGACCGCGCATAGGAAATGCTCATGTGTGTATTAAATCCCACAGAATATCGATCTCCCTCAGGAAGGAGTGTTACCAAGCGATGGTCAGCTGGGCTCACAGAACCTCCTAAGGATCGGAATGGGTTGGCCGGAAAAAGGCTCCAGGTAAAGGCTTCCCTCCTCTGGATAAAGACTGACATCAGAGTCTCCCCTCTGATGATGTGCCTTAGCACGAAAGGCCTCAGGAGGAACTGACAGCCTGTGACGCCTTATTGCCGCCCAGACCACGAGGAGGTCTGGCGGCCATCTCATTCAGGGTCAGTAGTTTGTTTTTATTATATGGATCTATGTTTGGGCACCTGCCAGCACTATTACTGTTATACCCTGCACTAAGTCTGTTACCAATAAAGTTCTTTATGACATACTACACTATGGGTACTCTCCTACTCTTTGCCCCTTACTGAGGGGTCAGCAGACACAGCTTCCAACTTTATCCAGAGGAGGGAAGCCTTTACCTGGAGCCTTTTTCCGGCCGACCCATTCCGATCTTAGGAGGTTCTGTGAGCCCAGCTGACCATCGCTTGGTAACACTCCTTCCTGAGGGAGATCGATATTCTGTGGGATTTAATACACACATGCGCATTTCCTATGCGCGGTCGGTGAGTGCGCATTTCTGCCATTTGTTCCGGATTCTTCATTACATTTGATGATTTAATGAACATTTGATTACCAATTTCAGATCAAACTTTTCAGATCGAATTTTCTAGATCGAACTTTCTGTTTGTTATTATTAGCGCTGCACTATATTTATTTACTTTTATTTAAGGCTGTTGTGACCTCCTTTTAGTGCTATTAGCTGCTTATTTTACCGTTATACAAGAAGCGCTCACTACATCTTTTATATTTCGTGTCTAGTTTATATTTACTAAACTAATTGCATTTCCATGTTCTCTCTGCTGTGGGAGACCACATGGAGTGAATGCAGGGTCCTGGGTTTAGTGATACTCTAACCCCTAGTGTGCCTGCAAATGTTCAAGCTCAGCTTTAAGGGTATATGACACCATAGTTTCGTGTATTAACAGGCATTTTTCTACACTTTCCAGCACAGGCAAATGGACAAAAGAATATCCATTGTTTCCAGTAAGACCTGAATGCACAAAGGTGGTTTGTTGAAACACCCCTACCAGCTGCATTTTAGGTGCATGGACCTGCATTTTGCTATTGGGCCTCCTTCACATGGCCATTTAGCTACATACACCGAATTCCAGCTGTAGGAATCCACTAATTCTTGCCGCTCGCTGGAATGACAAAAGAATGCAGATAGCATCAGCTGCAAAACCTGTACAAAGTATTAACAGGCTGAAAGAAGCCTTTGCTGTTCACATGTAGCTGCAAATCAAGCAGTTAGCTGCAGTTAGGGATGGGTGTCTGAGCCTGGATGCATCTGACTACATCCAGGCTTGGACCTCCATCCCTATCTGCTTGGTGTACGGCTACATGTTAACAAATAGTGCAGCGCTGCACTATTTATTTGTTATGATGTTGTGGTCATTTGTGTCGATTTGATGTGCTAGCTGTTGTATTCACTCTATTTCTTTAGTTATTTATTCCAAGCACAATTTCCCTTTTTCTGATATGTACGGCTACAGCAAAGACTGCTTTCAGCCTGATAATACTTTGTACTTTCCTGCTATTTGCACCAAGACATTGGAATAGTTTGCTGCAAATTTTCGGGTTATTATCAGCTAATTGAAAACCTAACCTCTATTTGCAATACCATAAGCAAAGTTTGATCTTTTTTGAGAAAAGAGGTCATATATTTCTGGTGAGTGTGGTGTGCTTTTTTTGGGAAAGAGGTAGAGCACTATTCTGGGTGTCACTTTCCTTCACGTTTTGGGTACATTTATTTAGCACTGGGCATTTTTATTAAGTTTGCATATCATGGTCTGTTTGCAAAATTGATTGTTCAGTTGAAGTATTTATTTGCACTGAGCACTTTAATTTGTAGAACTGTTTTTGATTTATTTATAGGAGCACTGTCTATACTGCATACCTTTTACGGAACCAAAATGTATGTCTGTGTATGGGTGGATGTCGGTTCAGGTCCGTTTTTTTCTAATCGGAACAACCAGCATCCAGATCTGTTGAAATTGAACGGCACGGATGTAAACTGACTGAAGTGCAAACTAATGTAAACTGAATGAACTGAAACAATGTGCAAACTGACATAAACTTCTGTAAACTGAATCAAGCTGACTGACACACACGCAGTACTAGCACAACCCAAGGTGGCCATCTTTGCCATGGTGGAAAGCAAAAAAAAAAATAATCGCCTCAGACAGCATCGACCCCCTGGTACAGTCCTAGCATTACTGCAATGCATTAGTGTAAACAGGGCCTTTAGGGTCCATTGAGTTCACAACTTTGAATTCAGTTAGTCGGTCGGTTCATTATTTTTTGTGACTAAAGATTCCCTAGTATATTTGACTACACTTGTGAACACTATTAGCATCACCATTTATCTTCTGCTTTATTTTGCAAGTCCATTTGTGATTGAAATGTTTGTGAGCATCTTCAGTTCTGAGCAGACAGTCCTGAGGAAAGATCTACTGTTTATTTTGTATTTTTGCAAACTGAAGGGCTTTTTCTCCTTTAAGACAACATTGGTATCTTCTGAGTGCAAAGCTATACATGTATGTGTACAGTAGGAGAGGCTGAGTGAGCAAAAAGGAAAAAAAAAACAAATCTCTGATGAAGAAGGGATGCCCTTCGAAACGCGTCAGAGGTACTGAGTATCTACCCCCATGATGGGATTCGCGCTGGCTCCTTATCTTTCAAGTCCCTCTGAGGACTTACATGCCTGATTTTATTTGCTGTTTGTGAGTATCATTTTATAATTAATAAATTTTGGTTACTGAGATAATGCACTAGGTTGGTGCGCTTCTTGTTTTTTTTTTTTTTTTCGCTTCGCAGTATTGGTCAGGCTTCCCCAGCCTTGTTTGGAGCTGCACAACTCTACATGCACTGGTGGTCGATTTTTTTCCAATTCTGGTTCCATCCATCTGCCACCCGCCTGGGTCCTAGAGCGCAGGAGAATTAGTTTCTGAGCAAAAAGGAACCCAGACCACAGTGTCCGATACTCTCGGCACTGCTACAGTCCTTATATCATTCTATAGCATCCCCAGATAAATCCCTCCCTCAGGTGTCATGAAGGTCTGTGACACAAGTTCATGTTTTACATGTGTAACATATCTGATACAGATGTACACACTGGGGGTGTATAAATATTATAGGCACCTTACTGGAATAATAATTGTTTTTTTGTCACCTAAATAAAATATTCATATATGTTGCATCCTTTTTTTTTTTTAAGGTATATATCATTGAGGTGCAGACAGGTGTCCATAACTGGAAGGTGAAGCATCGTTACAGTGACTTTTATGATCTCCATGAAAAAGTAAGTAAAACAAATGTAGTCAGTCTGCAACTATCCTGGATAATTGAAATTGAGCATATGATGAATCTAGGGTTGTATCGATACCAGTATATGTATCAGTGCCAATGCCGATACTAAGCAATTGCATGAGTGGTCGTACAAATGCTCCGCGACCTGAAACCAATACCTTTGCGGCGCAATTTGAGCCCATACAAAATGAATGCGCTCAAATCGCACTGCAAACAATCACATCTAATTTGAACTTAAATAGCACTACAGCTGAAGTAGCGGTGCGATTCCTGTCTGAATCACATGTGGTTTCCCTGCAGGTGCAGTGCAATTTGAGCCATTCATTTTGTACGGTTCAAATCGCACTACAAATCACATCGCACCCATTGGGGACCCACGTGATTTGGACAGAAATCGTACTGCATTCCAGTTTATATCACATGTGATTCTTTAGAGTGCGATTTGAACCCATTCCTTAGTATCGGTGTAACCCTAGATGAAACTGTTTATATTGAAGGACTTTGCATATATCACGGCAGGTGCCACTTCATCAGGTTTATGGCATCTGCAACAATATGTGTGGTGTCCTTCCATCGACCCAAATCTGGATGCTCTGCTTATTGGATGCCCTGAGGCAGGTACGACTATTCCAATGCACAGATTTTGCATCTTTTCATCTAGAGTGGTAGACAGGGCACATGACTCTTTTGCAACCAAATACCACATTCCACAATGGTAGGTGTTTAGGTTGGTTTTAAATGGTTTTATCTGTCTTTTATGGAGGTTGTGCACAATCATATACCCACTGGTGATGTGTTCATTTATGCAATCTAGATTTTGGTTTGTATTTATTGTAGCACTTTATCCCAGGTTCTAATCCAGATTGAGTTCAGAGCAGCAAGGCAAACAGATCCCTATTTGGCTCCAACTCTGCTCAAAGGTTAGGCCCCCAGCCTCCCTGAGGTGAGACCTCAATGAACTACTGCAGACTTCAACTATTTTCTTTTCCTCCTGTACAAGGACCCTGCTGTTTCAGGCCCTATACTATTTATGCACCCCTAAGCCACCTACTGGATATTCTCTCCCCTGGGGTTTGGCTGAGACCACATTAATATTCAGGCCCAGGGTCTACCTCTTCCAGCCCACTACATTCTAGAATCCATTAGAAGGCAGGTGAAAGCAATTCCCCTGCAAGCAAGACTTAGAACAGCCAAAAATAATCACACTCTGCTCCACTGATTACAGAGTTGCTAAATAAAAAAAACTAAATTTATCTCAACTTCTCTAGCAACCTGTCTAGGAGGGTGCTACATTATCTCCTAGATTGTAAGCTCCAAGGACCAGGGTCCTCCTAGCCCTCTTGTATTGAAGTGTATTGTTGCTGTATTGTCTCCCATTATATTGTAAAGCGCTGAGCAAACTGTTGGCGCTATATAAATCCTGTATAATAATAATAATAATAATCAATAAAGATTATTTTCTTTCATTATATACATATAGTGAGGTGGATATTGTTTTGCTGTTAAGGAGCTGATGTTGTTTTGGAGTTATCTCGACTCTTTCCCTTTTCGTTCTGTAAAATGTGAAGCTGATTAATTTGCATTGTGACCAAACAGTGTAGACTCAGGAGGGGGAAGGTTAAATTTTAAAGGAAAAGGTTACATTTTTGCATGTTTCATGTTGTGCCCAGTTTCAGTTGTCAAATATATTGTAAAAGTTTAATGCATGCAATTTATTATTATTTGAAGAGTGATACCATTATGTGATCTGCATTATAATTTTTCCTCATCTGATTTAGCTAACAGCAGAGAACAAAATAGAACGAAATTTGCTGCCTCCTAAAAAGATAATTGGAAAGAATTCCAAAAGCTGGTGGAAAAGCGTCAGAAGGATCTGGAGGTCTACCTACAAGCACTGCTTGCAAAGTTTCCTGTTACTGTTCCAAGAGCTTTGTCCCATTTTTTGCACTTTCACTTATATGTAAGTTCTTAATTCATTTTAAGGGACATTCAATTTCCTTTTTGGTGTTATGGTCCAAAGTTAGTGTCATTAAATATATATTACCAACTATCGTATGTGTGGGTCCTCATCAAATGCAGTCTAATCAAGCATATACAGTTTAACAAACCTGAAAATAAGTGCCCCAAGTAATGTTTTATCTCTTCTATATACTGTGGTCACCTGACATCTGTAACTTGCTCCCCACTGCACTGTGCGATCTGGGGGCAGGAGCAAGCACATAAATACTGATGAAGCCAAACATACATCACCCTTGAAAGTGTAGTATGTTATCTGCAGTGGAAGAATACATTCAAATAGCAGTAATGCCTGTCACCCAATCAGTGATTAGCTTTGTTCTGTCTGCTTAAAATGGGGGTAAATGTGTATGTTTACTGCATTTTAAGTGTACGATGTAGGTGATCATTTACAATCCCTCAGCCAACATAGCAAAGGTGTGAATTTGACAGCTGTCAAACTCCCCTAATAGCTAACACCGCTGACACCTAGTAGCTTCAATGTTGCGATCTGCAACAGATCTGTTTGTCAAGAGTTTACACTGTACGGAGATCCAGGAGGAAGTGTCAGTGCTGTCAACCATTAACGGAGTTTGACAGCTTGGTTATGCTGGCTGAGGGATTCTGAATGGTCATCTACTTCACACACTTGGAATTGCTTCTATGTTGCGAGCTGTTTGACAAGAATTTTACACGTGATTGTACTATTTTTTAGTTGTAAAACTTGTGTATTGCTGATGGAGATCCTGCGCTGCTGTTCTATTGTTTTTTTCTAGTAATACTGTAGAAAATCATGGAGAGCTAGGCCACCACAATTAACCATTTGCCTACCAGGCACTTTCACCCCCTTCCTGCCCAGGCCAATTTTCAGCCTTAGTGCTGTCGCGCTTTGACTATTGCGCGGTCATGCAGCAATATATGCATATGAAATTGTAGTAATTTTTTTAGACATATAGAGCTTTCTTTTGGGTTTTTTATTTTTTGCTAAACAAGCGAAAAAAGACCAAAAATATTGGGGCAAACTTTTTTTTTTTTTTTTTACTAGTTTCTGTTATAAAAATTTGCAAACAGGTAATTTTTCTCCTTTCACTAGGCTGCAATGATAGGTAGAACTGATGAGCACTGCCGAGAGGCACTGATGGGCATTGAAAGTCACTGATAGACGGTACTGACTGGTGGCACTGATGTACACTGTTGGGGCTGCATTGATCTCCTCTGATGTGGGAATACACTTGCCAATTACCGGCTCTCCTCTCACTGTGACAGTGTGAGGAAAGAGCAGCCGATAACCAGCAACTGTATTTACATTGTGATCAGCTGTGTCATTCGACACAGTTGATCACGTGGTAAAATGGCACTGTGATTGACCCTTTTACCATGTCATGTAATCAGCTGTATCCAACGACAGGTGCGCCCCCCAGGGGCACGTGGGAGGCACGGTTTTGGAGGATGTCATGTGATGCCATCCCAGAACTAGTTGACTGCGCTGTAGCCCTCATTTGGCTATAGCCCGGTCATCAAGTGGTTAATAGGTAACTGCAGGGTTGACTTAGAAAGTCTAGATGTCCTCCCAATCCAGAGAAGAGAGACCAGCTTGCTTAAAACGTTTAGAGACCTAACTGGGTCTTTCTATCTTCAGTAAGAGGTTGAGACAGTGGCATAAAGTGAAACATCTGCATTTCCATACACAGTCTTCATTACATAAAATGGGTAATTAATTCTATTTATAGGCTGTATTAACTGCTTTGTTTTGTAATACAGTAGGGAAAATAATTATTCGATCCCCTGTAGATTTTGTAAGTTTGCCCACTCACAAAGAAATTAAGTGTCTATAATTTTTATTATAGGTGTATTTTAAATGATAGACAGAATAAGTATTTGTTCTACTACCAACCAACAATAATTTTTTGCCTCCCACAGACTATGTGCTCATGTGGTACACAGATTAGTCCTGTCAATTTAAGAATGTGTTCCTATTGACAAATCGTTATGTGTATAAGACACCTGTCCACAGAATCCTTCTTCCATTTACAAGATCATCAGCAAGAATCTTGGTGAAAAGGAGACAACTGTTGGAGCGGTTATTTGCAAATGGAAGAAATACAAAATCACCATCAATCTCTCTCTTTTGGTCTGAAGCTCCATGCAAGATTTCGCCTCATGGGGTAAGGATGATCATAAGAAAAGTGAGGGATCAGCCCAAAACTACACGGGAGGAGCTTGTGAATGATCTCAAGGCTGTTGGGACCACAGTCACCAAACAGACCATTGGTAACACAATACGCCACCTTTTGAATTGAAATTCTGAAGTGCCCGCAAGGTCCCCCTCTGCAAGATGGATCATGTACAGGCTGTCTGAATTTTGCCAATGAACATCTAAATGATTCAGAGAAGGAATGGGAGAAAGTGCTTTGGTCAGATGAGACCAAAATTGAGCTCTTTGGCATTAACTCGACTCGCTGTGTTTGGAGGAAGACAAATGCTGACTATGACCCTAAGAACACCAGCCCAACAGTCCAGCACGGATGTGGAAACATTATGCTTTGGGGCTTTTTCTCTCCTAAAGGTACAGGCTGACTTTGCTGCATTGCCAATGGACAGGGCCATGTATTGTAAAATCTTGGATTAGAACACTGAAAAGATGGGTCTTCCAGCATGACAATGACCCAAAACATACCACCAAGGCAACAAAGGAGTGGCTTAAGAAGAAGCACATTGAGGTCATGGAGTGGCCTAGTCAATCTCCAGACCTTAATCCTATAGAAAATTTATGGAGAGAGCTGAAATTTTAGGTTGCCAAGTGACAGTCAAGAAACCTTAAGGATTTAGAGAAGATCTGTAAAGAAGGATGGACCAAAATCCCTCCTGAAATGTTTGAAAACCTGGTAAACAACTACAAGAAATGTCTTACCTCTGTGCTTACCAACAAGGGTTTCTCCAGCAAGTACTAAGTCATGTTTTGCTTGTGGATCAAATACTTATTTTACTCACTGAACTGCAACTCCATTTATAACATTTTTGTATCGCGTGTTTTTTTCTGGATTTATGGTTGATATTTAGTCTTTCATTTAAAATATATAATGATAAAAATTATAAACTCTTCATTTCTTTGTAAGTGAGCAAACTTACAAAATCTGCAGGGGATCAAATAAATAGTTTCCCCACTGTATCAATTCTTTATAAAAGTGGATTTGCACATAGAATTAAGGCATAAAATAGACCACTGTAGCTGACAGTGGTATTGTGTTTTCTCATAGATATTAACTCTATGCTGCTAAAAATGTAGCCTTTTGCTGATTGCCTGTCTGTATGCAATGTAGTATATTTCTTCGTGTGTAACTAATATACATGTTGAGCCTGGCTACTATCATTAGAGGCAATGTAAACTGAGTCATATGATGTTCCTGTTAATTTCCTGTAGAGATTTGTTTGTCACATGCTTCCTGACAGTTCCATAAAAGATTGTTTGTACTTTCAGGAAATTCATGGAATTGCTGCTGTTCTGGCTGAGGAGCTTTACCATAATGGTAATACACATTCATTTTTTTTTTTAAAGCTGTAAACATTAAAGTATTACTAAAATAAAAACAAATATTTTGAATTAAAATAACAAACATGTTATACTCACCTGCTCTGTGCAGTGGTATTGCACAACGTGTCCTCAATCCTCCTCTTCTCGGGTCCCCCGTTGGCCATCTTGGGTCGTCGTCCTCCTTCGTGTGTCCCCATAGCAAGCCATTTGCTATGAAGGCACATGGTGTCTGCACGCTCCCGAGCTGTGTGAAGCCACACTTCATAGACTTGCACAGCGGGACTTAGCCCCACCCCCCATTTCCTCATCACTTCATTTGATTGACAGCAGCAGGCGCAAATGGCTCCTGCTGCTGCTCAAGTGCTGTGTGAAGAGGAAGAAAGGGGAGAATAGATGCAGCCGTAAACAGCTCTGGATCTATTCTCCCCTTTCTGGCTCACACAGGGAAGGTGGGGGGAGCGCAGAAATATCAAAACATTTTATGCCTTAGTTTTACTAAACCCACAGCAGTAAAATAATTCTGCATATGCAGTAAAGCATTTTTGTTATACTCACTGTGGAGCCTAAGGGGTTAATCCTCTGCATTGTGTGTAAGAAAAAAAAAAAGACGTTTTGATCCTGACTTCTCTATTCCTCCTCTTGTTTTAATGTCCGCGTCTTATCTACTGATAAGACAGACTGAACCGTAGCCATTCTGCACATGCTCGGTTTAGTGTGTATTGCTAGAGTGTGTGTTTTTTTTTTTTTTTTTTGGTTTTTTTTTCTTCTTGGGAGAGTGCATGTGATTAGCACAGGGCCAATTGGCACTGTTCAGACAGAGGTCAGAGGTTTTGCATCATCCTAGAGCAGAAAGAAAACTCCTACAAGCTTTAACCAGTTTTCGGCTGGACACTGAGAGAAATCACAAAAGGTATTTAGCAGTTTGTATTTACTAAATAATTGCACTTCCATGTTGTGTGTACTGTTGGAGACCAGATATAGTGACTGCAGCGTCCTGGGTTTATTAACACTTCAATGCAGGGAATACATTAAGGTAAAAAATGTTTTTAGCTTTAGTATCACTTTAATAATTAGGATACTGCAGATCTGTATTCTGCAGAAGCCGTCTACCAGTCTGATTGAAGCAGAAAATAGCAATCCTAGTCCTCTCTTTCTCCATCCATTCCAGTGATGGAGGCTAAGTGTAACTACAGTTATCTGCTTCATTCAGAACATTGTCTCAGTGGCTGCAGGTGAGAGGACTGTATAGAATCTTTAGCACTGACAGATTTCTCCATTGTGAGCATTCAAGTAGTTATCAGTATTGCACTGTCTTTGGTTAGCTGAAGTACCATGTAATGAAATCTTTGATTAAAGTTCTGCCTATAGTTGAAGTACAACTGCAGGCAAAACTTTTTTTTTTTGGATAGTATAAGGGAGGGGAGGGTAATTTTTTTGCCATCTATGTACTATTGAGGAGATTTCCCTTCACTTTCTGTCCCATTGCCAAAACAGGAAGTGAGATGAAATCCCTGCAAATTCAGGGAATCCATTGGGGTTCCCCAGGTAACCAAAACTAGTATCCCATTGGAAAATGTCCCCACTATTACTGTACTGGTGACAACAGAAAAGTGAGATTTACTCTCACTTTCAGTGATAAAGGTAAATGGGACAAAGAGGGTGAATCTCTTTAATGGGGGCAGGGGTAGCAAGAAAAACCTGACATGGGGTCTAATCCCTCTCCACTCTATCCAAAACGTAAGAAAAAAAAAAGGTTTGCATTTAGTTGTTTGTTTAAAGCAAGACACCTGAAAGCAATGCTGATGAGAATTACCTTTTGGACAAGGTAGCACTTTGGCATAGCATAACATTGGTAATAAAAAGTGGTCCCCTCATACCACTATAATGAGAACATAGTCTTGTACAGGTTGCATTCTTCTGATGAGTAAAGGCAGACATTTGATTCTAGAATGTACCTGCCTATATATAGATAGGTTATAGTCCTATAAACCACTATTTCTGGTCTTACATTGACTGTGCACACAGTTTGTGATTGATTGAACTCAGGATTTTGCTATATTTTGCCATGATGCTGGTCCTAATTAGGGAAGATGTTATGGCTCAATGCAATTCTCCAGCATTCATTGTGTTTAAAACACAAAGTTTTGTTGCCAGAAATAAGGAGAAACCCATAATATAGCTTTTAACTCTGGGCAGCGTAGTCACAAGAGCCACTAACCTGAAGGAATGGATAACCCAGCCCCCTTACTATAAAAGGGTGGCCTCACAGCATCCCTGTTAGTGTGTGGTGGAGATTTTAGGGAGAGCAGACTATTCTGCATAGTGAGAGAAACTGTTCTAATATAATTTTTTTTTGTCATTGATACATGTTCCCCATTACAGTGCCGGTCTTCTCATGCCTTCTATTTGACAATAACTTGCTTGCTCACAAATCAAACGCAGGCATATTCACTCATCCCTAGTTCTGAACATCTTTGGTGTTTTTATCAAAGTTTCATTTTATTGCTCTTCATCATACATAAGTTTGTTTTGTTTTTTTTGCCATTAGGAGAGCAATTACTTATAGCAGGAGAAGTATTTCATATGAGACCTCTACAATTGTATGCCATAACACAATTGCTGCGACTTGGCAAACCAACCTGTATTAATGGAGATGCCAAAACTGACCTTGGGCACATACTTGATTTTACTTGTAGACTTAAATATTTAAAGGTAAGTTATAGGTAATCTCTTTATTTCTATTTGCAGGTAGTCCTTGAAACTTGTTTAAAGACAAGCCGCGTTTTTGAGCACTACCGTATCAAACATAAAAATTGGATGACACACTGACAGCTATAAGATCTATAGTTTATTTTCGAAAATCAAAAATGTCCAAACAGTAAAGCACAAGGTGTAGAGCAGACCTTGATTTGTTTCACGCCAAGCAAGTGTTGACACGTTTCATGCCAACGGGCACATGATCATTATGATTAAGGGCCTGTTGGCGTGAAGCGAATCAACTCATGTTCTTCATCCTGTTCTTTGTTATTTGGCCATCCTGTTCTTTGTTATTTGGCCCTTTCTGTAATTTTTGAAAATAAACTCTTTAGATCTTATTGCTGTCATTGTGTGGTCATCCAGTGTCTGATGCTTTATGGCATGAGGCAGAAAAGCACCTGATTAATTTGGGGTTAAACAATTGTAGCAGAAAAACCTGGAGCAGTGTATGGCGTTTGGATTGCTTGAGCACTACAGTATGTTGCAGTATTTAGACAAGGTACCCTGCACTCCAGGCAAACCGATAAATGCATGGATGAAATACATATACTGGAAAGGTTTTGTCTGCCAAAGATTTCAATTTTTGTTAATTTCTGAGATTTACACAGCCCTGTTTAGCAGGGCATAAGATGTGTTTTCGTTTTCTCTGTTGCAGTTAGGTAAAACTTGCAGGTCTTGTCCCTCTCTCAGCCTTTAAACAGGCAGTGAAAGAGTCAGACCTAAGAGCTCATCTGCCACTCTTCTGTCTCCTCCTGTCAGCGTATTCCTTGCAGTGCAGTACTACTGATTAGTTAGCGCTGTCTGATATTGTTTTTTTCTGCTGGAGTTCAACAACACTTACGTGTCCCTTCCCCACCCTATGACTGGACAGTGAAATTATTAGGAGCAGACAGATGAGCTCATTCTCTTTCTGTCACTTTGTCCTATCCGCCTTTCAACATTCTCCTTGCAATGCAGCATACTGGCTCCTTGTGGTGCTTCTCTATCCCCAATACTGGCTACTGTTGCAGAAGGCATTACAAGAGGCTGATACCAAGTCTGATTTAACTACATGCCGCCCAGCCACTGTACATATACGGCGGCAGGGCGGCAGTCGCAGGCAAAACCACGTTTTAAAACGTTTGTGTTTTGTAAACAAAAAGGGGGCGCGCCGCCGCCCTATCTGTCCTGCGGATCACCGCCGCAGATGTCAGTCGCCGGGTCACAGCCGCTCCTTAGCGGCTGTTTCCCGGCGATCGGCGGCAAACAGTGACAGAGAGCACAGCTGCAGTAGCTGTGCTGTCTGTCACTTCCCTGTCAGCTCGAGGATGAGCTGATCGAGAGAGAACAGTTTCTCTTTCTCGATCAGCCTTGTCCCGTCCAGTACACACCCCCGCCCCCTAGTAAAACACTCCCCTCACTCCTATAACCCTTCCCTGCAAAATAAAGTTAACCCCTTCCTCCCCATTGCTGTCAGTGACCCCAAGTCAGTACCCCCCAATGTCAGAATGTCCGCCGCAGTCCCACAGTCCCACCATAAGTTGCTGGTCGCTGCCATAAGTCCCTGATTTTTTTCCTCAAAATTGTCAGCCAGGTTTTTTTTTTTTTTTATAGCGCAAAAAATTAAAACCGCACAGGCGATCAAATACCACCAAAAGAAAGCTCAATTTGTGGGGAAAAAGGATGTAAATTTCATTTCATTTATGCACCATATTGCATGACCGCGCAATTGTCCGTTAAACTAGCGCAGCGCTGTATAGCAGAAAAATGGCGTAAATTGCAGTATTTATACCATAGTTTGTAGACACTATAACTTCCACACAAAGCAATCAATATACACTTATTGGGATTTTTTTTACCAAAAACATGTAGCAGAATACATTTTGGCCTAAATTTATAACCAACTTTGAGTTTACTATATATTTTTTTATAGCTGAAAGTAAATAATATTGTTTTTCTTCAAAATTTTTGGCCTTTTTTTGTTTATAGCGTGAAAAATAAAAAGCGCACAGGTGATCAAATTACACCGAAAGAAAGCTCTATTTGTGTGAAAAAAAGGACGTAAATTTAGTTTGGGTGCAGCATTGCATGACTGCGCAATTATCAGTTGAATTAGTGCAGCGCCGAGTAGCAAAAAGAGGCCTGGTCATTAAGGGGGGTAAATCCTCTGGAGCTCAAGTGGTTAAGTACTTGCTTGCTTGCATTCAAAAGAACACATGTAATGAGAAATTAAAGGCTGTGTTCACCTTTAGCAACTTGTGTTTTGGCGGTTGTGGAAGTGGTTGGGTGGTTTTACGGCTGCTTGTATCACTTCCACGTGAAAGCCAACAGTCGGCTTCACAAATGTACACACACTCCTGGCCGGTATAGCAGTTGCGAGAGTGTTTAAACAGCATGTGTTACCAGTGCCATTTTAAAACGACACTGGGACTCAGGTGGTTAAGTAAAAAAATAAATGTGGATCTTTTTTTTGTATTTATTTATTTATTTTACACAGGAGCTTGCAAAGCATTGCAATGCAGTGTCAGGCTCCTGCACACTCTCCCTCCAGCTTTCTGCCCAATGCCTTTGTACGGGCTTTCAGTTTGAAAGCTGGAGGATATATATTTACCAGCACAGGGGTTGCCATTTATAAATTTGAAAAACTGTGGGGTCCATGTTTGGTTACCCCGGTTATAAGGCCACTCGTTCTGGTAATGGGCAGGATTCACACTGGCTATTGTGCACCTATGGTTCTTACACTGCTATATATGAGTTTAACATTGGATGATGCTACTTCTTTTGCCATGTCAGTAATAATGCTTACTTAGTATGATTCGTTGTAGTAGGTATGCAGAGCCATACAAAGCAGTATGCAGGAGCTGACGGGGGAGATCTGTATTGTTTACATACAGGTCTCTCCCCCGTCAGAAATCCTCGGAGATCCCTGGGTACTGGCGGGGAATCACCTTCCGGGACCTGGTGACCGACAACCGAGGCTGCAAATGGTCCATGCGCCCCCTACCAGGAACTGCAAAATCACGTGTATATATACGTTATTTTGCGTACCCGTGCCACCCTGTAGCAGTATTTATGCTATACAGTAGGTTGGTGCAGAAGCAGTTAAAGTGAGAATAAACAAACAGCATAAAATTTACAAATACACATTTCTGACATTAAAATAATAAAAAAAAACAGTGACCAATATAGCCACCTTTCTTTTCAGAGACAGTCTTAAGCCTTCCATTCATGGAGTCTGTCGGTCTCTTTTGTTCAGCAACAATCACAGCCTTCCAGACACTGTTCAGAGTAGTGTACAGTTTTCCTTCATCGTAAATCTCCCGTTTTTAAGAAGGGCCTACGAGTTCTGTATAGGGTTTAGGTCAGGTGAGGAAGGGTGCCATGTCATTATTCTTTCATCTGTAAGGCCTTTACTGGCTAGCCATGCAGTGGAGTACTTCGATGTATGAAATTGAGCATTGTCCTTTATAAATATCATGGTCTTCTTGAAAGATGCAGATTTTTTCCTGTACCACTTCTTGAAGAAAGTGTCTTCTAAAAACTGGCAGTAGGTTTGGGAGTTGATTTTTAGTCCATCTTCAACCTGAAAAGGTCCAGCTAGCTCATGTTTAATATAACCAGACCATACCAGTACCCCACCTCCACCTTGCTGACGTCTGAGTCGAAGTTGAGGTCTGTGCCCGTTACTGATCAAGCCACAGACCCATCCATCTGCTTCAACTTATGTGTCTTGTTCAATAGTGGTCGGGTTTCTGCCTTCCTTATCTTGGCCATGTCTCTGAGTATTGAACACCTTGTACTTCTGGGCACTCCAGGTAGGTTGCAGTTCTGGAATATGACAGCACTGGAGGATAATAGGTTCCTGGTAGCTTCACGTTTGAGTTCTGCTCAAATCTTTGACAGTTAATTTGCATCTTGTTTCTCAACACTTTCTTGCGACCCTGTTGACTATTTGCAACAAAACGTTTGGTTCTGTGATCACGCCCTGTGATCATCTTGGCAATTTCAAGAGTGCTGCTTCCCTCTGAAAGACTTTACAGTTTTTTACTTTTCAGTCAGTTAAATCTTTTTTTTTTTTTTTTGTTTTGGCCCATTTTGCTTGAGGAAAAGAAGCTGCCTAATAATTATGCACACCTTGATATAGGGTGTTTGTGTAATGAGGGAGGTGCGACCTAAGGAGATCAAATACATATCTCCTGGTAAGCTTAAATCCAATAAACATTCCAAGTTTATACAGCTCGGAGTGGACAATATGCATAAAAATTATGTTTTTGTCATTATACTCACTTGCCTAAGAACTGTGCATACATTGTATGTGGCTGTTATATCTGCCTAGAGTTCAACTTTCATTAGAAACAAAAATTGCATAAAATGGCTTAATAATTTTGATCAATCATTATGTTTTATTACATGTTTTGGATGTTAAGTTTGAGTGATAAGACTATGGTGTTGATTTACCAAAGGCAAATAGTCTGTGCACTGCAAGTACAGTTGCCCTAGATCTGAGGGAAACCTCTGCTGATTTCTATCATCCAATCATGTGCAAGCAAAAATGTTGTTTTTTTTTTTTAAAATTTTTCTTGCATGTGATTGGGTATTCTTTGCAAAGTGAAGCCTTATCTCATTTGCTACGTTTTTGGAGCAACTGCACTTGCAACGCACAGTATATTTGCCTTTAGTAATTCAACCCTTTGGGATGATGTAATATTATTGTGTTAGGAAAAATGTGTGCAAAGTGATTTTTTTTTCTTTTTTTAACCCATGAAAAGGGAAACATGAACTGCCTGAAAATAGTATGCCATGACAGCTAACATGGAGCATATCACTTCCTTTGCCAACATTAGTGGTTCACTTGCCTTACCCTTGGCCTGTCCCAACAAACCTGCTATCCTGCCAGTGTTGGCACCACTTGTACTTATAAGCCTGAATCAGACTTTATATATCACGATATCCGGGCTCAAAATTTCAAGTCCTGAACTACTAGCCAGGCCTTAACAGTTACTCGCCACCAGTTGCTGTACCCAACCACTGCCCTGCCCTGCCCGTATTTTCGACCCTAAACATGCTCTCCTAAATTATCCCTTGAAATGACACTGTTAAATATTTTATGCAGAATAAAGTTACAAAAATAAATATTAACTTCTTTAAAAAAAATATTAACATGAAGTAATGTAAACATCTCCTGCATCCCATTTCTTCCTCCTCCATCCCATTTCTTCCTCCACCTCCAGTCCCATCTCCCCCATTCCATGTCCTCCTATTCTCATTTCCGCCATCCCATGTCCTGCTCCTGTACCATCTCTTCCATCCTTTGTCTTTCTCCAGTCCCCCACTGATATACCCCACCCCCTATATTTCCATTGCATTTTTTTCATGCACTACTTTTGGTGTCATCCAGTGTTAAAATCACACTGCACAGTTGCACAGGAATCACACAGGGGGTGTGAACCAGTCCTTAGCCAGATTAAACAACTAGATATAATTTGTGCTTATTCTTGTTGTTCTAAAAATTTGCAAAAATACCTTGAGAAAATGTTGCCTTCTAAAATTTTAAACAACAAAGTTGTTATGCAAAATATTACTACTGAAGTATGCTGAAGAAGCTTAAAGCTTAACGCCAGCATTACTTTCAGGCTTGCAAAATTGTACAGGCTCCTGTCCTGTACTAAAATTGCTTACTCTGGTTTCTCTTCTCGCATGTGGGCAGGACTGGGAGGGGGATTGATGCAGCAGGGGAGGCGATTAGAATCTGTAGCAAGTCATAGCCCACCTTGTTTCCTGGTGGAGAACATCCAACATCACTTAGTGCAGGGGTGGGCAACTGTGGCTCTCCAGCTGTTGTAAAACTACAAGTCCCATGAGGCATTGCAAAACTGACAGTTACAAGCATGACTCCCAAAGGCAGAGACATGATGGGACTTGTAGTTCACCAACAGCTGGAGGGCTGCAGTTGCCCACCCCTGACTTAGTGCGTTACTGTCCTTTTGTCTACCCCTTTTAATTCATAGGACTTAATTTCTTTAAATCATGGAGGCTCAGCATCATATGTGGGCATTACCTAGGACGGTTTGCATGTATGTATACTCTGCCTCTGAAATCCTACCCCTCCAGACAGACTTCCATTCACCAAGGCATTTCAGTGTTTGCATAACTTCTCTCAAGAGGCAGCTAGCTGCTTGCATCTGGGCTGAGGACCCTTTAGAGGAGTACTGAGACTGGGTGCTGTGTGTTCTGGGATGTACAGAACCCCAATGGCCTCTCCCACCATCCATGCCTGCATTTCATAGAGAAGCACATAGACCAAGTATTGAAATCACTGGATCTAAAATAAGGTATGTTATATAAACAGGTTTTATTGATATTTTTCATTATCTTGTTCATGAATGGGGGAAAGGGGCAAAATATTGACAGATTAAACTTCAGTTTTGTCATCAAAAGTACAAGTAGGATGTGTGAAAAACATAGAAACCTTTCATGTAGATTTATTAGTGGTGGAAAGTGTGTTACCTTCTGCAATTTATTTATTCTGAAAGCCTTGGTTTAATTACAGAATTCTTTTTTCATGGTTTTTCAGATCAGTGGTTCAAAAGGTCCTGTTGGAACAAGTAATATTCAAGAGCACTTGCTATCATATGATCTATCTGTATTTAAATCACTTTGTCAAGTAGAGGTAAGAAACGTACCAAATGCTTCTTGCAGTATTGTTGTTTTACTTTGTGATCATATATTTTGCATAATTGAAAGACTGGCACTATTACAATAACTGCAATCTACCTACTCTAAACGTTACATAGTTTCTTCTTACTTGGTATACAGTATATTGATGTATCACTGCTATCAAGATAAGTGCTTATGAACCCTTATACATACTATTCTAACGGTCACTTATTATACATAGCATAAAACTCTTCTAGTCAGTATTTCTTGAACATACATGCCTTCAATAAACTGAAGGCATATTTTTTAATCTTGAATGGAGAAAGGGATTGTTATAACCCCTGTGATGTTTTTATGCTATCACTGCCACCTTGAGGAAATTTCCCTTCACTCCCTGTCCAATAGCCAAAATCGGAAGTGAGAGGAAATTCTTGCAAATTGAGGAAATTTCTTGGGGACCCCTAGGTCACCATAACAAGTGTCCCCATTTGAAATTTTACCCTGTAGTCTCATTTTGGTGACAACCCAAAATTTGTTTTTGTTTTTTTTTTGGTTTTTACTTTCGGTGATAATGGTGAACAGGATAGAGACCATGGATCTCCCTAATGGGGCACAGACAGCAATTAAAACCAGCCAGGTGTTCTAATGCTTCCACTATACATCCAAAACAAAAAAAAACGTTTTGCCTTTAGTTATACTTTGAGTCTTTTGCAAGTGTCCTAAGGTGATGGACTCATTTGCTTCCTCTGAAAGAAGCTTGTTCTTTTCTTGTGGTCGGATTTCATTTAGGAAGTGAAAGACCCCGCAAGGACAGCCAAATGCTCACTCCACTGTCACTAGGTGGATTAGGCAATTTATCATTCAAGACTAAGGCCTCAGGGGCAAGGCTTCCCAATTTCTGGTGAGGGCGCATGCTGCTAGGAGTCTTAGTGCTTTGTTTACATGTTTGTTACTTTTTGCTTGGTGGACTTTCAGGCCTTGGCAGATGTGAACTTCAACCATAAGGTCCTTCAGGTGGCCCTGAGACCTGTTGGACGTTGCCTGTTTTGTTCTATTTTAGTTTCTTTGGTTAGTCCTGTTTGCCCTTTTTTCCTGTTGCCCACCCATCAGCTGGGATGTCCCATTGGTGACTGGATTACCAGCTTGTGTTCTGTGTACAATCAAGAAAATTTAATTTTTGTGTTACCTGTAAAATTTCTTATCTTGGAGTACACAATAGAACACATGCACCTTTTCTTTGTTTTTGTGATCCACTCTGCTTGTTACAGAACAGAAGGCAATCTGGTGCAGGCAAATGCACTGCCTTTGAGACATGTATTTGGGGAATCATTAAGTTAACGTTGACATCTGCTGCAGATCACAACTGCATTGCATTTTTAATGTGGATCTTAAAACGCACATGGAACATGGGTTTCCTGCACCGCGGTCTGGTATGAGCAGGCTCTAAGGCTAGGTTCACATTAGTGTGAGCTGCTGGAAGAAATTAAATTGCATGCCTTTCTGCACCCGCAGAGAAAACATGCCGCTGCTTAGAGAGATGCATGCAGGTACCATTAATCCTAATAGCACCCCCATGCATTTGAAACTGTAACGTGGTTTTCTGCACTGGGAACTGCACTGCACTATGCAGTTTCCCTGCGGCTTTTGTTTCTGCTAAGGTTCAGGGACCTTTTCCCTGTGTTTTCAGTGGGTACAGCAGCCTATTCAAATGAATAGGCTGCTTTGCCCAAGCAAATGGGGCCGCAGGGAAACCACGTAGATGTGAACCAGGCCTACAACCACCTGTAATGAGGACTGTGGCCATTACTCCTTTGTGCCAGCAGAGGACACTGGAATGGGAGTGCCAGGACTGCATTCCAGCTAATACAAAGGGGTGATATGAGGCATTTCCTGTTAAAAATCATAATGTGATGGAATAGCATTTTTATGGTATAGTCCATTTTTTGGGAAAAAAAAAAAAATCATAAATGTGCCTCCAAAGGTCTTGAACATATGGAAAGTTCAAAAATATATGATTATACAATATTAGTTTGCTTTTGCCTTTTGACACGTTTGGCTGTTTTGGCTAGTAGAAGGCATTTTGTATGCCTGTTTAGGATAATATATAGTCACACAGTGTTTCCCTACCTTGAAAAATATCAATTTTAGAATTGCATGTGTAAACATTTGGATTTGCTTTTGGGACATCTGAAATGGTCCAATGTGTTTTTACAATTTCATATTAGTGTTGAAGTCATTTGATCTGTCAAAAGATAAGAATTTAGTTTTATATTGTATTTGCATTTGAGAAGGCCCAAGTGTATGCTGACAGGCTGTGCTGTACAAAAGCACATGCATTCTTAGCTGAAATTCATGGGTTTTCTACCTTTTTTGTTTAGGGTGAAGGAAACGTATTTGCAACATTTCGCCAGATGTATTTGGGATGGTTAGCCATTTTGATTTGAAATTTGGGGTTGCCAACAAAGGGGCAGAAAATAGGCGAGACATTCTTGTAGATGCTGAAATGAGCATACTGGATATAGAGGTCTTTTCTTACACTCTAGATCTGTGGTCTCCAAACTGCGGCCCAATGTTTGCCTTTTATCCAGCCCTTGAGGTATTATTCCTGCCACTGACACCAACAGTGGAGCGTAATTCCTGCCATAGACACCAACAAAGGGGCACTATTTCTTCCACTGACACCAATGATGGAGCACATTTCCTTCCACTGACACCAACAGTGGGGCACTATTCCACTGGCACCAACTATTTCTCCCCTGATACCAAATCTTGGGCATTGTTTACTCTTACTGGGCACAGCCGGCCCCCTAAAGTCTGAAGGACAGCAAACTCACCCTTTCTTTGGAAAGTTTGGAGATCCCGGCTCTAGATGTAAGACATGACATGTATGACATGAGGTGCTAGATGTCAGAGTGTTGCTGTTCTTTATTAGGTCTTTAAAGGTCCTGAGTTTAGGAAAGCGACTGCAATGCTATTTGCTAGAGGTGATGGATATTAAAGAATCCATGTGTTCTGTACTCATGGCAGCTATTAGAAATCACAGGGCCCCTTATAGCCTACCTAGCCTCCCCCCCCTCAAGAAAACAAGATTTCCACAAAAAATACACTAAAATCATTGTTAGTGGACACAAACATAACATAACTTACAGAGTTCCAGATAAATTTAAAATAAAACTGTATTGCTTTAATTGATAAGGCTTTGTGTGTAACTGAGGTCTTGAGGCTCATTCACATAGATCCTGTGGCCTGTACAGTATGAATGAATTAATTTTTTTCTTTATTAAATGTGGGTATTGCTGTACACAGGCAGTCTATGTTCAGCTATGGGGATGCAGCAGCTGTACAAACACAGCCATGGGTCCTAATTTGACAGGTGTGTGGATGCATGTGTATGGCCCCGAACACTGACTATTTGAGGCCACTCACCTACACCTGTACACCTATCAAATTAGGACCTGCGGCTGTGTTCATACTGCTGCTGCATCCTCAGAGTAACAGGTGGCTCTAGCCGCACAAACAAACCACTCAGTCATACTGTATGGGCCAGAGAACCCTTGTGAATGAGCCCCTAATGTTTTAAAACTACTTTTTACAACACTTTTTTTAAAATAATTTTTTCCTTTTTTTTTTTACAATACTGTTTTGGGGGGGTTTGGGTGAAATATCAGGGGTCTACGCAAGACCCTGACATCTCACCTTTTGGAGATAAATTCCTCAATTCCTTTATCTGCAGCCTCAGCTGCACTGCAAATGAATGAAAAGGAGACAGAAACTTCTGTTTGTTCATAAACTGAAGCATAGTAAACAGTTTACTGTGGTTCAGTTATGAACGAACACAGTGAGTGATTGGTACTCACTGTGTTCACTCACTAAAAAAATGGCTGCTAAATTACATATTTACTGGCCCCTTCTCCCACTCTCCATTCTGAAGATCTTCCTCGGTGCCCGCAGCAGCCGGCGGGAGAGGGACACACGGGGGGGCACACAGCAGGAGGAATCGCATGTGGGCAGGACCGGGAGGGGGATCGATGCAGCAGGGGAGGCGATAACAGGAACAATGCCCTGTATGTGCGTCTCTCTGCAGCAGCTGAAAGTTGGCAGGAGTGATAGGGAGAGAAACCAGCTTTTAGCTGCTGCAAAGAGCCACACAGGACATTGTTCCTGTAATCGCCCCCTTCCACATTGGTCATCTTCCCTGTTCTGCCAACACCCGATTGCCCCTGCTTCCTGGACCCATACAAGAGGTCCAGTGGTACTCCCTTATTGTCTGGACCAGTCTGTGCTAGATACTGCATATATCATAGTCCTCTTAATTTTTTATTTAGAGATGGAACTGGATATAGTAGAGTTCCTGCCTCCTGCACTAGACATCCATGTCTTATATACACCAGAAAAAGGAAATGATCTATATGGCAAAGTCCTTGTCTTATATATTCCATACAGGAGGATCTGGTTATAGGATAATCGCTGTCCCCTATACTAGATGCAGGATGTGCTGTTTATATTAGAGTCCCTGTAGAGGAGGTGCTTTTGTATAGAATAGTATGTCTTTTATACTTGATACAGAAGATGCTGTTTTTATAGGCATCGCTGTTCAGGAGGTGCACGTTATGGGAGAGACCGACCCTTTGTTCTAAACTAGATGCTAGGCGTAGGTGACACCTCACTTTTATTTTAGGTGCATTTGGAACATGTTCTAGCAGAGGTCACATTTTGTTCACAGTACTTCTAAATACAAAATCACATTAGAAAAGCAGTGGGACACTATCATTGTTTCCTGTAGTTACAGGTGTTGATGGGTAGCTGCTGGATAAACTTTCAATAACCTTGTGATATTTTCAGTTCTCTGTTTGTCAGTTTTTTTGTTTTCCTGTTTCTCTTGGGATATCTTCCATATATTTGCCTCTGAGCTGAGGAATAGTGAATATGTTCCAGTGATATCTGTTCAAAGCAGCTGACTGTCAGCAGAATTCACTTAAGCAGCACTTTGTTTTAAGTAGTCAGCACAGATAATTAGTTATGTATTCAGGAAATGTCTGAGTGGACCATTGTTCTCAGTAAACTGAACAAGAGCATACTATCATGCTAATAATCTGTTTTTCAGATCTGTCATTCGGATGCACGACTTATCAAAGGCTTCACCTCTTGCAAGAAAACACTGGAAACTATGACTGTTCAGTTTTCAGCATCATCAATGAAGGTGTCATTTATTTTTTTATGTTTCTGAAAAAAATGAATATAGTTGTCTTTCTTGTAGTAAGAATTATCTTCAGTCAAGGTCCTCCCATGTGGTTTGTATATGAATTTCCTGTAATCTACAGAAAGGTCAGGGATCAGACAAAAACTGGCGACACTGCTATAACCTACTGACTGTGGTATTGAGAACCACATTTCAGATAGCAGAGTTATTTGTCTCTTTTTAAGTAACACAGGCCTGCTTACCATCCAGAGTTACCCACATACTACACCTGAGCAGGGCTGCTGATAAAACAGTACAGCCAGTTGTCCAGTACTGGGCCTGGGCCCGGGCCCCATCAGTTCAACAGGTGGGCCTGGGCACTTGCTGAGCTAGGGGGCTGTTTAACTTTTGTGGATCCCCCTGCAGTGCTGCTGTCTTTCTCACTCTTGCTACACTGATCAGTTCTAGAATCTTCGCCCCCTTCCACCTTTTGTGTGGCCCCCCTCCCTTCAGTGCTGCTGGCTTCCCTCCTCTCTTCTCGCTCCAGCAGCTGCTGAAGGCACACAGGGTTGATGTTTCAGGATGGAGAGTGGGGGCCGCTAAATTTTTCATATTTACCAGCCCTTCCTTTCCTGAATAAACACAGTGGGCAATCAGTACCGATCGTTTCTGTGTCCATCACTGAAGAATAGTAAACTACCACCACCTGCTTTAACCCTTCACTAGTGTTAGTGTGGACTGCATCTGTAAGCTTTGCCGCTTGCAGAGCAGCGTTGTTCACTTGAATAAGTATCACTTCCGCCATGGCTGCAAAGTGTGGTATTGTGGTTGTGGCATTTAAGTGACAATATAATTTGATATTTACGGGGGGGGGGGGGGGGGGGGAGAGATCAGGCCCTGTCACGTAGGCAACCCTGCACCTGAGTAGTAGTAATTTGGCCTTCTCCCATTTTTTTTATCTCAGCTAATCGCTGACGATTTCACGGTTGGTATGCAAACTTTAGTAAGATGAGCATTCATCTTAATGCATCTAATATTTGTGGGCTCCCCTCACTATATAATAAGCATGAGTAGCATATAGCATCTGAAAGGACCATTTAACAATCTGTCTACATAACGGTTTTATAACACATATTAGTGACATAGCTAAACTTCACTGGGCCTCAATCGTAATTTACATTTTTGACATATTACAATGATAAATGATCACCACATATGGAAATAATGTACATAGTAACAATGCAAGCACCTTCTAGCTGTGGCACAAATGACAAGTACCCAAGAGCCAGAGCTTCACCCAGTCCCCGTCCTTGAGGAGCTATAAGCCCAGTAACCATTTCCACTGGTTTACATGCATTGTTCTATAGTGGCTACACCTACCTGTCATGTGTGGGTTTTTTTTCGCTTTAATAATGATTGATTGAACAGTGAAGAATTGTTTTTTAAAGCTTGCCTAAATTGTGCAGAATTTAATTCAGTGTATATTTTGTTTAGCCATTCTTGTGATGCTCACTTTGAGGAGCTCATCCCTCAACATTCTAGCTTAGCGTCACTGCTTTCTGGGTCAGCTGCCCTCTCCTAGGAAAGTGATGATAATTTACTGTCCAATAAGGAGGTGGGGAGGGGGGTGACACAAGAAGCTGAACTGCTGAACAGAAAAGTTGAATATTTTGATTAGGAATTGAAGTATTACCTCTGGCATGTTTTATTGTTTGAAAAGCGTAATTTTCGGCTGGAAACATGTCAGTGATGCTCCTGACTGCTGTCTAATAAACAAGAAAAAATATGGCAGCTCAGAGTGTGGTGATTTTTTTTTTTTTTTTTTCCCTCCTTTTTCTGAATGATTTGCTGGAGAGCAATGAGCTGGACCAGGATCTAGTAATATAGCTGTGGAGTCTGTGATGAGTCACTTACCTTAAGTGGTGTAAATATATTATTGTGACACTTGTCTCAGCGGCCTGGCTGTGCAGTTTGGAAAATGTGCATAAATCGCATCTATACAGAAATATTTATTGATAGCTAAAACCGTAAATCCATAACTTCCTCTGGGTTGATTCAGGCAAGGATTATGCAATTTATCTGGGCTGACAGATGCCCGAGAGTCTCCAGAAATATGCTTTTTGTCCATAGACTGCAGGGAGGTCTTGGAGTGCCTAATGTAGCTAAGTATTACCATGCGAGCCAGATTGTCCCACTGTCTATATTGCACGCTTCCTTTGATGTTCCTCTTTGGGTCCTTTTGGAACTACAGTTGCAAGAAAAAGTATGTGAACCCCTTAGGATTACGTGGAGTTTTTTTGCATGAATTGGGCATAAAATGTGCTCTGAACGTCATCTAAGTCACAACAATAGAAGAACACAGTCTGCTGAACATAATACTACACAAGCATTAGATGTTGCCATGGTTTAATTGCACATAACATGTAAACATTCACAGTGCAGGGAGGAAAAAGTATGTGAGGCCCTAGCTTAATGACTTCTCCCAGAGCTAATTGGAGCCAGGAGTGAGCCAGCCTTGACTCCAATCAGTGTGATGATATTGAATGTGTTGCTGACAGCTGTCCTGCCCTTACAAAAACACACACCTGTTTTGGGTTTACTGGTTTCAAGAAGCACTGTCTGATGTGAACCATGCCTCGCAGAAAAGAGCTCTCAGAAGACCTACGATCAAGAATTGTTGACTTGCATGAAGCTGGAAAGGGTTACAAAAGTATCTCCAAAAGCCTTGATGTTCATGTGTCCACGGTAAGACAGACTGCCTACAAATGGAGAAAGTTTAGCACTGTTGCTACTCTCCCTAGGCGTGGTCGTCCTGTAAAAATGACTGCAAGAGCACAGCGCAGAATGCTGCATGAGGTAAAGAAGAATCCCAGAGTGTCAGCTAAAGACCTACAGAAATCTCTGGCACATGCTAACATTTTTGTTGACACATCTACAGTAAGGAAAACCTTAAACAAGAATGGAGTACAAGGGAGGACACCACGGAGGAAGCCATTGCTGTCCAAAAAGAATATTGCAGCACGTTTGAAGTTTGCAAAAGAGCACCTGAATGTTCCACAGCACTACTGGCAAAATATACTGTGGACAGATGAAACCAAGATTGAGTTGTTTGGGAAGAACACACAACACTATGTGTGGAGAATAAAAGGCACAGCACACCAACATCAAAACCTCATCCCCACTGTAAAACATGGCGGAGGGAGCATCATGGTTTGGGGCTGCTTTGCTGCCTCAGGGCCTGGACGGATTGTTGTCATTGATGGGAAAATGAATTCCAGAGTTTATCAAGACATTTTGCAGGAAAACGTACGACCATCTGTCCGCCAACTGAAGCTCCGCAGAGGATGGGTGATGCAACAGAACAATGACCCAAAGCATACAGGTAATTCAACAAAACAATGGCTGCAACAGCACAGAATATGCCTTCTGGAGTGGCCCAGTCAGAGTCCTGACCTCAACCCGATTGAAATGCTGTGGCATGACCTTAAGAGAGCGATTCACACCAGACATCCCAAGAATATTGCTACACTGAAACAGTTTTGTGAAGAGGAGTGGTCCAAAATTACTCCAGATCGTTGTGCAGGTCTGATCTGCAACTACAGGAAACGTTTGGTTGAGGTTATTGCTGCCAAAGGAGGGTCAACCAGTTATTAAGTCCAAAGGTTCACATACTTTTTCCTCCCTGCACTGTGAATGTTTACATGTTATGTGCAATTAAACCATGACAACATCTAATGTTTGTGTAGTATTATGTTCAGCAGACTGTGTTCTTCTATTGTTGTGACTTAGCTGACGTTCAGAGCACATTTTATGCCCAAATCATGCAAAACTCCACGTAATCCCAAGGGGTTCACATATTTTTTCTTGCAACTGTACCTAACTGTGTCCCCATTGCGACATCAATGCTTTTATGGTTCCCCCCTGCCCTTCGCCTGATGACATTGAATCCTATTATGCTCCATGGCCTACAAGTGTGGGATTCGGTACGCTACTCCAGTGGCTTGATGTCACCCTTTCTACCTTTTGCTCCCAATTATCAATGATCCTCTTTTCCCGCCGGATTTAGATCAACCAGGGGCATTCTCTTGGTGGGTGGCTAATGATTTTTTGCAGGTGCGACACTTTTTGACTTTTCGGTCCTTCCCCACCTGGAACTCTCTTTGGGAATCACTGGATGTCCCTCAGGCAGAATTTTTTCCTTACCTTCAATTGCAGCATTGGCTGACCTTACTGCGTGGCACTTCCACATTTCCATATCAGAAATCTGCCTTTGAACAGCTTTGCCAACAGTGTCCGGGTGCCTCAGGTGTTGTTTCCCTACTTTATGCATCTTTGAATAGGCGCTGAATAGTGGGAGCGCGACTTGAGGGCGGTCGTGGCTCTGCAGGACTGGAATAAGTCCTGGTCGTTTATAGCTAAATGTAAATTTAATACAGCCAAGCTGGAGGCGGCATACAAAGTACTGTTCCATTGGTATTGGGTCCCGGCTCGTATAGCCCAGGCGAACTCTGCCTATAGTGAACGCTGCTTCCGGGGTTGTGGAGATATGTTGCATATATGGTGGTCATGTCCGAGATCGATTCATTTTTGGGCTCGTGTATTTGGCCTTTTTTACACCTTGTTCCATCTCTCCATATGCCAGGAAGCTCGGTATGCTTTGCTTCATTGTCCCATACCGGGCCTGTTGGCTCACCAGCAGAGGTTGGCTTCCTATTTGTTCTTGTCGGCAACTAGAACAATTGCTCAGACCTGGAAAAGTACATCTGTCCCTCTTCAGGAGGTGCGGAATCGTATGACCGCTCTGATGCTCAATGAACAGATGTCGTGTATCCGCCATGACTCCCAATGGAAATTTTTGAAAATATGGGAGCCGTGGTTGATATATGCTTTTCCCACGAACCCTCTGGCTAGTCTAGTTTATGATGATGCTGTTCGGTATTGGCGTTCCAGACCCCTGCTTCTGGTCTTGTTTTCTTCTTCTTTCTTTATTCTTTTTTCCTCTTTATTTTTGCTTGATTTTTGTGAGGTGGTAGATGTTTACCTTTTGGCTTGAGTTTCTGTTGGTGTTATGTAACTTTTCATATTTTATGTGCCAATGATAGCCCCTGTGTGGGCGCGCCTTCTGCACTGTTGGTGTTATAGTATTGGTCTCCTTATTTTTTATGTGCCATTGATAGCCCCTACATTTGTTAAAACATTTAAAAAGTTAATACAAACCATTGAAATACAAAAACAGTAAATCCAAACACAAATTGATTTAAATGTGTCCTGCCAAGAAACAGAAATTTTCATTTCATCTAGAAATGTGGCTGTTTACCCAGAGTTTCACTTTGACATTTACCAAATTAAAACATAAATGATTGTCATTGGAAGCTGAAGTTTTCTTTGTTTCTAGGATATTCTGGTGCCTGAGGCTCTTGAATTCGATCATTGGGAGGCAGAAGGTGCAACATCTGACTGTCCTATAACAGCTGTAGTGCCGAAATGGAGTACGCTGACCACTGTGGATATGAGCCACAATCAGATTTCTTGTATTGATGATTCTGTGGTAAGAGGCTACATTCATTTTCGAAAAAGAGGTTCAAATAATGAATTTGCCTTTTTCCAGATTGACTTGACATGTATTATTACATGTTTTTTCCTGTGCACTTTGTTTACAGAAAATTGCTCCACAAATAGAGTTTCTGGCCTTGAATCGTAACAAGATATCCTCCATAGAAAATCTGCAGGTAAGTGGTCTTTTACTCTTGTTATATTAAAAGATAAACTGTAGACGTTTTACATTTTTACTACCTGTATGTTTAAAGGCTAAGTTCAACTTTAACCATTACCCGCCCGGCCAATGGCCGTTTGGCGGCTTCAAATGTGTCCCTGCATTCCGGGTGCACGCCATTTGGCGTGCTCCCGCACATGCGTCGTTTGCCGCTAATACAGAGCGGCGCAGCAGTGCGATCTGTCACCGGCCGTGCACCTCGGACACGGCCGATGACAGATCCGAGTACCGGCTCACGTTGCTGGTACCATGTGACCTGCTGTGACCAATCACAGCAGGTCACATGACAGTTGTATACAATGGATGGCTTCATTCATGATGCCATCCATTGTATACTAGTGCCTAGCTGTGAATGGTCACAACTAATCACATGCACATGTCATGTGATTAGCTGTGACCAAATCACAGCTAAGCACAAAAAAAAAAAAAAAAAAAACCTGAATTAATCGATTTCATTCAGGTAAATGCTTGCTTATAGCAAAGTAATTCTTTGCTATAAGCAAATTGTGTTAAAAAAAAAAAAAAAAAATAATCACTTCCCCAAAGTAGTACAATGTTACTATGGTAACATTGTACTACTTTGGTCATAGTAAAATATGAAAAAAAAATCTTAAAAAAAATGTAATAAAAAATTAAATCTAATAAAAAAATTTAAAAAAAATATATATATATATTTTTTTTTTCATACTGTCACCAGTCAGTGTCCCTGTTCACCGCCATGCCAGTTATATGACGACGCTGTACTGCACTGGTGACAGTATGTAAAAAAAAAAAATAGTGAAAATTATTTTTTTAATTTTTTCATTTTCCGAAAAATTATGACAAAAAAATACAACTTCAAAAAACTCGCCATGCCTCTTATGAAGTACGTCGGACTGTCTACTCTGCAAAAAGGGGTCATTTGGGGATATCTGTACTATTCTGACATTCTTGGACCTCAAGAAATTAGATTGGCCGTCAGTACTTCAGGATTGATCAATAATCAGATCTATACCATAGTTTGTGAACTCTATAACTTTCCTACAAACTAAATAATACATCCTAATTTGGGTTATTTTCACCAAAGACATGTAGTAGAATACATCTCGGCCTAAATTTATGAAGAACAATTATTTATTTGTAAACTTTTATAACAGAAACAAAGAAAAATGTGTTTTTTTTCAAAATTTTTGGTCTTTTTTTGTTAATTTAGCAAAAAATAAAAACCCCAGCGGTGATTAAATAGCACCAAAAGAAAGCTCTAGTTGTGTGAAGAAAATGATAAAATTTTAGTTTGGGTACAATGTTGTATGACCGCGCAATTGTCATTCAAAGTGTGAGAGCGCTGAGACATGAAAAATGGCCTGGGCAGGAAGGTGTAAAATTGCACGGTATTGAAATGGTTAAAAAAAATAAATGCACATGTTTTTGCAGAAAAAAATGCATTTATTATTTTTTTCCACGAGCAGTGAACTCGCAGTTAGTGGATTGCAATGTACAGTGTCAGGCCTTGCATACACTTCTAGCTCTCTGCTCATACCTCTGTAAAGGCATTCAGTTACTGAGCTGGAGGCAGTGTCATTGGACTGCGAGTACACTGATTACCACACTCTTGGTCCACTGAGAACTACAAGTCTGTCTATCATGGGGTTGCAGATGGGACTTACTCATTTACAATCTCTATAAATGACATGAATGTGCGGTGGACCCCACACAGCTGCACTGATTTAAATTTGACAGCAGCTGCAGGGGTGAGAAATCCATGCACGCTGTTGCAGGTGGAAGGGGCAGACTTTGGAGGTGGGAAGCGGGTGCAGTAGGAACATGTTACACCCCAAATACGGGTGAAACCTGTTCCTAAAAGTGAACTTAGCCTTTTAAAGTAATTGGCCTTGAATTATTTATTCTAAACATGCAGTCTTGCCTAATATTGCTAGTCTTGGTAATGTGAATAAATGACTAACTGATTCTTTTCCCAAAGAGAATTGTGTCTATGAAAGCATCTATCTCTGCCCTATATTGACCTCTGAGGGTGAACATGGAACAAATCGAACTTAATTTGCATCTCTATAACATGAGTTTGCAAATGCAGCATTTTCCACTCCCCTAATTTTCATCAATGGTAGTTTCTTTAACTGTTTTTTTCACCTGGTACACATTAGCAGTTTTTTTTTTTAATTCAACCCAGCGGACTGAACGGAAAAAATACTGCAGAGCTCAGGAGGAGCCGCTGTACTAACAGATGTTAGTACAGCAATCTACCCCTGTAAGTTATTATGTTCTGACAGGGGGACGCCCCCCGCCAGAACACACCGGCTGATCGGATGCCAATCGGCAGACCTTTTTTGGTCTTGCTGCTTAGGCAGAAGCCGGCCTGGTCGCCTTACACAGGGGTTGAATGTCAGATTGTTTTTATTGAACCAGCCGATACCACCCGATGTTCGGCCCGTGTTTGCTTAACCACAAACAATGCAACTATAGTTTTTTTGTGGGATCCTCTTGCATGAAACCTTTGTAGGATCTGAGGCAGATAGCTACTACTGTAATATCTAATGTACTGAAAGTACTGTTTTCTATCTATTTTTAGGTGTACACATAATAAAATATTTGATAGGTCATCAACTGGCAGTTTTTTTAGCATATGCGCTATTGGATGGACTGCCTGTCTGGGACTTGTACTCAGCTGCAGCTTCAGGGTTAACCCTTTGAGGACCAAGGGACGTATTTGTCCCATGTTTGTAATTGCGTGTATCATCTGATTAAGAACTTAAAACTTTTTTTTTTTTTTTTTTTTTTTTGAGTCAAAATATTAGTTCTTATCAACAAACAAGTGGATCTAGCTTTTTGCCAATTATTTCATGAAATGGCTTAGTACACACTGAAGTGTACGAACTTTAAAAACAAAAAAAAATTGATTCTTTTGGCGTTCCAAAACCTTACGGTCCTCAAAGGGTTAAACCCCTATGCCTGTGTTGCTGAGTTTGAGACCAGACATTAAAGTCTCCAGGCACCATCTGACCAAGCTAAGATACCACTTTTGGAAATCTACTGCATTAACACTTATGCTGATGATTATGTCATTAAAGGGGAAAAAGAGGTGTGGGCAGTTTTTCATTGCTGCTTATGTTAGGAGGGCAGCAGCTATTCGGAGTAGATTTTCTAACCTGTCTATTCAATCATTCCTCTAAGAGCAGTTAGCCGCCAGGTATATGCTGGACATAAAGTTTAAAATGGACAGATTAGGCAACTGTGTCAGCTCATGTCAAGTGAACTTGTGCCCAAACCACAGATCACAAACTAATTACATGTGCTTTTCAAACAATCTCTCCCATACCAAACTTTGTAAACAACGGGCATTAACTCAGTCTGGAATTTCATAGCCAGAGTTGCTCCCTTGGCACACACTATGGGATTTCTTTCGTTCAGTTCAGCGGGCTGAACAAAAAAAACCGAGTAGCTCACGAGGAGGTCTTTGTACTAACTATGTGATGTTACTGCAGTGATAGCCTCGCTGAGCTATTGTGTTATGACTGGGGGACTGTCCAAACCCCTCCCCTTCCCCACAAAAGAACACACCGGTCAGCGTTCGCAGCCATTCGCTGAGAGCGCTGATCGTTTGCCAATTGGTAGGTGTTTTTCTAGCATGCCTGTTCTACAGAAGCCGGATAGGCTGCTGTACACATGGGCCGAATGTCAGCCTGTTTCTGTTGAACCAGCCAATATTCAGCCTATGCGTACTAGGTTTTACCCTCCTTCCTACTTGAGATGCTGCACTCTGTTTATCCCCTTCCCGCGCTGTGGAATATAAATAGAGGTAGTCATGGGCATATGCTGATCTGTTCTGGTTAAATAGTGGAAATGTAAAATATATGCCCAATCCCAAAAGTGTACATTTTTCTACTTTTATTCTTTGAGATAACTTTGTTTACTGTGTATTAATTGATTAAGAGTTTTTAGCATTAAAAAAAAAATGTTAACTTCACTTTTTATAGTACTTGTATAACCTGATTCACTTGGATCTGTCGTACAACAAACTCTCTGGGCTGGAAGGCATTCACTCAAAGATTGGAAATATAAAAACACTAAATTTAGCTGGAAACCTGCTAGAAAGTCTCAAAGGGCTCAATAAATTATATTCCCTGGTCAACCTGGATTTAAGCAACAACAAGATCTCACAGGTAGGCACATTTTCTGCTTAATCATTTCTAACCTCATAAGCATTTTAAGTTTTTTCAGTCAAGACAATCTATTGTTTGGTTTGCAAACCATTTTTAGTATTTATTGTTAACCGCATTAAAATAGAGGTCTAACAAAATTACTGCTTGCCTCTCGGAAGATTTACCCCCCTTCATGACCAGGCTATTTTTTTTTTTTTGCTATACAGTGCTGTACTACTTTAACAGTTCCGCAGTCATGCAACACTGTACACAAATTAAATTTATATAATTTTTTTTTTCACACAAATGGCTTTCTTTTGGTGGTATTTGATTGCCACTGGGTCTATTTTATGCGCTATAAATGAAGAGAGACTGAAAATGTACAAAAACATTTTTTTTTTTACTTTTTGCTATAACACATATCCAATAAAGAAAATAAAATTTCGTAATAATTTTAGGCCAGAATGTATTCAGCTACATGTCTTAAAAGAAAAAGAAAAAAAATATCCCAATGAGTGTATATGAATTGGTTTGTGTGAAAATTATAGCTTCTACAAACAATGTTCTATATACTGGAATTTTTTTTGTTTTTATATATACTAGTAATGGCAGTGATCAGCGACTTATAGCGAGATTGTGATAGTACAGTGGCCATTTTGACACTAACTGACACTGATGAGAACTAACTGCCACTGACATCTACAGTGATACTAATACAGTGATCATTGCTAATAAAAAGCACTTTCACTGTACTAATCACGCTGGGCAGGAAGGGGTTAACATCAGGGGCGATCAAAGGGTTAACTGTGTATTAGGGAATTATATTATTATGTACTGTGTGGAGTTTTACTAGGGAATGTGCTGGTTTTTAGCTTCCTGCTTTGCTTTGTGTAGGAGGGTGCGTGTGCCCTTCCCCGAAATGGAGAATTGTGAATATATCCGTGATTCTGCAGAGCGGCTGCCTTGTAGCAGTAGAAATGCTATAGGGTGGTCGGCAAGCGGTTAAAATTACAGTGCCTTGAAAAAGTATTCATACACCTTAAAATTTTCCATATTTTGTCATGTTACAACTAATAACATAAATGTAAAAAATGGTATAAAAGTGAGTGCTCTTGGAGGGTAAGCTGCTGGACACTCAAGGTAACCAAGTGAAAACCCTAATAAAACTTCATAAAAAAATAGTGCAGCGCTATGGGTATGATGTAGGTCAAAGCAAGACTAGAAGTCAAAATATCTAAACGCACAATAGCACATGTCAGTTAAAACAAGACTAAGAATCAAAATGTCTAAACGCATAATATCACATGCAATAAGTCAAGGCAAGAAAAAAATAGTTCAGTGTTTTCATTAGAGTCTTATAAAGTGCTTTTCTTATAAAACCGTGGTGTTGTTCCAAGTAATATAGGGGGATTGTGCACTCACCAGATGCACAATAAAAATGTGCATTGAACAAAAATCCACAGAAGCTTCCTTCAGGATCTGGTCTGGAATAGGGGAAGTGGTCCTCCCTCTGGATGATTGGTCTGGTCAGGGACACCTGGAATGAATCCTCCCTCTAGGTGGGTAGTGATGGTGGGAACCCTCAGGGTGGTAAGAAGAAGATTCAATAGGCTTTCCTCAGAGGTCGTGCTGCTCCATGTGCTGGCATCCATCTTAGGTCACCTAAGATGGATGCCAGCACATGGCCTGTGCTGGCACGACCTCTGAGGAAAGCCTATTGAGTCTGCAAAAGACTTGAGACTGGGGCGGAGGTTCACCTTCCAGCAGGACAACGACCCTAAACATACAGCCAGAGCTACAATGGAATGGTTTACATCAAAGCATATTCATGTGTTAGAATGGCCCAGTCAAAATCCAGACCTAAATCCAATTGAGAATCTGTGGCAAGACCTGAAAATTGCTCTTCACAGACGCTTTCCATCCAATCTGACAGAGCTTGAGCTATTTTGCAAAGAAGAATGGCCAAACATTTCACTCTCTAGATGTGCAAAGCTGGTAGAGACATCCCCAAAAAGACTTGCAGCTGTAATTGCAGTGAAAGGTCGTCCTACAAAGTATTGACTCAGGGGGCTGAATAGAAATGCACACCACACTTTTCACATTTATTTGTAAAATATTTTGAAAACCATTTATCATTTTCCTTCCACTTCAAAATTTTGTGCCACTTTGTGTTGATCTATCACATAAAATACCTTTTATGTTTTTGGTTGTAACATGACAAAATATGGAAAATTTCAAGGGGTATGAATACTTTTTTACGGCACTGTAGAGTATTTTCCATGCGAGGGATTGTAAAAAATTAAATCGCTGCAGACAAAGTCTGAGTTTCTCTTCCTTCCTGGTGTTTGCCCTGTTCAGTGCTGGAGATGCTTGATAAGCACATCGCATAAGACTAGCTCTTCTCTACCGTTGCTCACAATGGAAAACCTGATCTAGCACTGCAGAACACAGTTGAGAAATAAGTTATTAACTGCTATTATTATTAGCTGCTGATACATGATGTTACTGACCGAAAATGTTATGAAAATTCTTTGGAGCATGTGTGTGGTTATTTTTCCAATAAACCTAAGCCATAAATTCTCCTCTTAATTAGTTGAGCAATTGACACTCTAAAGACCATCCCACCTTTATCTGCTAACAAGATTTCTTACATATGCCTATACTGAGATTTCTTTGGAGAATATGATTCGGTGGCTTTACTTCAAGAAGTGATTCCTTATGTTATGTTTCCAGGCCTGGCAAATCTGTGTTATATTTTGCTTTTTTTTTTTATATGCAGGTTGATGAAATAAAAAATATTGGGAATCTTCCATGCTTGGAAACTATGATTCTGACCGACAACCCTGTGATAATTATCCCTGATTACAGAACAAAAGTTCTTGCACAGTTTGGGGACAGAGCTGCAGAGGTAAAGTTTTTCTGAAAATCTGAATAGGTTATTTTTCCCTACATACAGTTTGGATGACAATAGGTCTTTTGCAGCTTACCAGTGTTTAGATGTAATGGCTATATTAATTTTCATTTTTCAGACTTTTGTTTTCCTTTATTTTCACCAGATGATCTTGCCAATAACACACATCCTGTCGTAGCATGACAACGCTCCCTCACTGTACTGTACACATAAAGGAGGAGCATTGTCGCCCTAGAACAGAAAATGTGTTAGGAACATCTCCCTCTCTCCTCACCATATCTTTATGTGTGGATGTTGGGGAATGGGTGAGCTGGACTGGGCAGGGCCGAAAATACATATTGAGCTAACACTGGAAGTGTGCACAGAACAGCACTTCATTTCTGGCAGGATCGACAGATATGTTTTGTGCAATTATATCAAAACACTTTCAGTTGTATATTTAAGAGACCAAGAAGGAGGAAAAAAGTTAATTGCTAGAGTTTTTATACATTTTTAAATTCCTGTTTGATTCCCTCTTGTTGTCACCTGTTAAAATTAGGTGTCCGATGCTAATTGTATACCATTTTGTTTCTTTCTGCTTTCAGCTTGAAACTTGAAAACCCTTTCTAATGTGGAATGATGGGGATTGACCCATTTGGACCCTGCTGATCAACATTATTTTCAGCAGTGTAATATCTCTGAGGTTGTTGGATTATGTAGAGCTGCTGTGCCTATTTGATTTTGGATGGCCAGAGTTGCATAATGCAGGCAAAGTTACCTGGGTATCTGTTGATTTGTGTTCTGAGCAGGGTAATCCCCACCATTTAACATAAAGACTTTCAATAGAATGGTCTGCCATGCTATTGCTGAAATTCAAAACCGCTTGTAGTGGTAATGGGGTTTTTGACTACATCATTTACAGATGCATAAGACAGTAAACTGTGAACACTCAAGACCTGGGATGCTATGCTTGCCTTGCAAAAATTAATTTGAAATATTTTATCACTTTTTTATTCAGGTTTGTTTGGACAATACTGCTACAACAGAAAAAGAACTGGACACAGTAGAAGTGCTGAAAGCAATCCAGAAAGCAAAGGAAGCAAAAAGTAAACTGAATAATACTGATAAAAAGGTATAACAAAGGACGTCCATTTTCTAAAACTATTGATTTTCAAAATTCCTAGACTTTTTATATATTTCTAGTTATGGAAATGTAATTTTGTACGTGGACTAAAAACTGATTTGGCTACTAATATCTTTCTTTAGTGTCAGAAGATTCTGCTGGTTTTTTTTATTTTTTTTTTTTTTTTTTTTGCTCCTCTGCTATGTATTAGCAGTAGGAGATGTAATATTTTAGTATAGTAAAAACATGCACAATTGGAACACTTTATATAGTTTATTTAATACTTATATTTCAGCCTTGTGTTCAGAGCTGAACACATGCTAGGAGTAATGCAGCAAATTACAGGTGACTTGTGACTTTTTCAAGATTCAATAGAAATTAATTTTCCTTGGCTTTTAAAGAAAACCTCTCATGATAGAAATATGGAATTTGACATTGCACTCCTGGAACTGCTAGTGACTTGACCACCATATTGATCTCTTATTTTGGTGCGCGAGTATGGGTCACGGACTTGTAATGCTTCTGCAGATAAGGGTTCGACTTTCCTGATCTGCATAATTGTTCCAGGTCAGAACGTATTGAAGATAGCGAATTTGTAAAACGGCCAACTAGCATTTGCTTGTTTAATAATTTTATTAGAAAAAGTGTTTTAAGTTTATGGAGCAGTGGGTGTATACATTTGAAAGCATTGGTTCAGTGATCTCATGATCAACAGAATCTAGAATGTATAATTTGTGCTTGTCAAAGGCAATCCTATATGATTGCATATACTGTGCAGTGTGTATATATACTGTTCTACCCACTGGTGGTATTGTATTGGCATCTTAGATCCAGTGACTCCTGTATATATTTGTCCACCCCTGTGAGAGATGTCACAGTGTTAAATAACCCACTAACTTTTTATTTTTACAGAGATTCCAGAAGCAACATCTCTAAACCTGGCCTGTCAAGCCAACCCACTTGGGTGGCCTTATGGGGGGTTCTCTCCCTCCTTTTTGGATTTTCATTTAGACAAATTCAAGGAAACCTGCACTCACATGAAAAATATGTAGCCTGCCATGGTAGATACCTTTTTCTAAAAATATTAGTTCCATGATTCCCTCTAAAGTTTGGGGAAAAAACAGAGGAGTGGAAGCACAAGCAAGACCTCTTTAAAGTGTAGGGATTTAAAAGTCTGGAACAGTACCAAAAAATCTCCCTGCTGTCAGAATACAATGGCTCAGTAAGGAGGATTCCCCCATCCACATGGAGTGGATGGCTGGGAAAATCGAGTCAGTTTTTTTTTTTTCACTCAACCCACTGGTTGAATATAAAAAAGTTAATGCATCTTTGGGCTTCTATTCTCTTATCAGATCTTAACTAATTTCAAATGTCTGGTAACATTAAACAGTAGGCTACATTTAGCTATACAGCAAATAGCAATACAGTTAAAATTACTGTACATTCACTTCTTTAAGACAGTCATGTCTTAAACATCTTTTAAATGCAATTTAAATATCCTTGGGAATTAATTGACCACAAGTTTATAACTATGTACATTATTAAAAGAGAAAAAATAAATTTAGGTTTAATGGTCCTTTAAATATTTTTTTCAATTTACATATATGGAATGAAAGAGTCACGCCTATTTATACAAATTACTGTAATCCGGTAGAATAGTTTGGTTTGTACAAACATTTTATAGAATTGTAAATTATCTGCCAGGAATTTGTGTTGTAATAACCTAACTAATGCAAATAAGCTGAACTTGTTTCTAATGGCAGAGGTTGTCTGTCTTCTTTTTTTGAAGACTTGATTATTTGTTTCTTTTAAAAGTGGCTACATGGTATAACTTTTTTTTATATGTTTGGAAAAAATTTCTAGCCTTTCTATGCCAGGCCTCTAAGTGCCAGAAGCAGAGAAGCTATGTATTTTAAATACTGTGTGTTGCCAATTCTCCACTTGTCATGCCAGAGTAGGCCCAAATTGGAAAGAAATGTGACCCTAAAGTGAACGTTTACAGTTCTGTCCTCTATAATATGAGCTGTCACGCATGGTAATATAGTGGGGGAGTAGGCAACAACACCTAGAGCATGATGTATCACAATTTCAGTGCTAAGATCTAGTTGTTGTTTTTTTTTGGTTTGTTTGTTCTTTGTTTTGTTTTTTTACATCCACTCATCACATTCAAATTTTTAGAGTAGGTTTGAATCTGTGTAGTGGAGATAAAGAAGTATCTCTACTGTTAGTTCTGATACATCATGGTATACAAAGGCTGTAAGCTTTGTATTTTATTTGCCCTTCCATTGCAGGGAAAGGAAATAGAGTCAGTTCACCAAGCTGCATGATTTATTTTAACTAAATTTGTATTTCATTTTATAAGAATGTTCTCAACAAAATTATCAATTCACATTTTTTTAATTCTGTGTAAGTTTGGAAATGTTGTTTTACATATAAAATGCAACCACTAAAAGTCTCAATTTTTCAGAAATTAAAATTTTATGAAACATTTTTTTATTTCCACCTTTATTTTCTACTTTCTTCAATACCTTATCACCAACACCTTATCATTCAACACCTTGTCGCCAGTCAGAATCTTGGGGCATTTAAGGAGATAACCTTTGTGATCATTTTTGTGAATTAACTTACAAAATACCATAAAAGTCAATAATATAACATGCATGCAGGAAATTCAACTTATCTGTACAACATTTTTGGCAAATTAACTGTAATTTGCACTTTTTAAAAATTTGTAAACCATGCAAAGTGATCGAATTACAATATATAGTATACTATACTTAACTTATCAATTGCCTGTAAAGAAATCCTGACATTTGTATCTACACCTCCAAGTGACCCTGACAGTACCCCGGTGTTCTTCACTCCCAAGTGTGTCCAATGCCGCATCCCCAGCTGTGAGCTGTACTTGATGGCTGTATCAGTGTGCACCTAATGAAGAAATAACTTGACCTGAAACATTGTGCAGTTTTAGATCTGCGATGGTGATGTAAATGGAATATGTTTTGATATATTAGGTTTGTTTGGACTGATCATGTTTGGGGTTTTCCAGTTTTGCTCCTTATTGTTTGTGAGCAATTTTAAAATGCCTTGGAGCAGACACCACAAGATCGGTGATAACATTTTCACTAGCCTTTTCTATGCCCCTCACCCATTGATTTTTATTTTTTACTATAATCTGACAATATTTGATTTCATGCAAGGCTTAAAGAGCTGCCATTCTGACATTTATTGAATAAAGTACATCAAGAAGTATTTATCTGTCCAATAAGTACTCCTCAGTGATGGGTAAATGGCAGTTTTTGGTGCTTAGCCATGAGATCAGGGAAAGTCAGATGTTAATAACAAAGTAAAACTAAATTGGAGAGGGTCAGGGAAAAATCTTTTTAATACCGGCATCTGTGGTGTCTACTTTTAGGTAGGACTTTTTCTTTTAAAAGTACAGGTTCACAACTTTTAAATTGTGTTATTGGAGTAGCTATCAGGTTGAATGCCACATTTTTCTATGCATTTCTTTATCGTACCATTATTTTCCTGCTCAGTTCAGGAGGGTTGCTGATGGACCAAATCCTTCATTATTTTTTTTTATGCATTTATAGCCAATTATGGTAAATATCAGGAAGTTTAATTTGTCTTTGTAATGTCATCTTTAACCTCAGTTGTTTGTACTCTTTTACATTAAAATATTGGAGAAAGCACATTAATCTGATTATCAGTATTACAATATTTTTGAGTGAATGATTAGAGAGTGTCAGTGGTAGAGCCTTACATATATAGAGAAATTGTTTTTGCACATAGCAGTGTCATTTTTGAACCTGCAATAGAAGGCAACTATAATTAGAGGAAGGATGTAAAAGCTTGCATGAGGTAAACAAAAAGGAATGCCAGGATTTGCTGAACACATTTGTACCGCAGTAGTTCCTAAGGCATTTCTAAACCCATTAACAAGCATTTTATATATTTAAACTTACCAGTCCCCAGATGAGGTGACTACATTAGTTTTCACTTTTCAGTTTAAGATCATTTTCATCAAGTATAGAAGATACATGCTGATCTCGCTAGAAATACTGTGTCCTTGTCACATCCTATTAGATGAAAACAAAGCACAAAGAACCTTATCTTTATTGTGTAAGCTGTTAGTCACATCAGTCCACCATGTAATTGACAATGAACAAAGGCAGATATATTTAAAGGTCAACCATGGCTGCCTCCTAGATGCAATGGATAAAAGGATGTAGTCATGAAGGAACAGGAACTGTGATTTTTTTGCAGAATTACCAGGTGAAAATCAAGGGGAAAAAATTACAATAAAGCTACAACATTTAAAGACTGGTAAGCTTATTAATCTTTTTGTTTTTGGATTTACATATGCTTCAGTAGAAATCATTGAGTGGAAGGGTCATGTATGCACTGCCATTCACTGTTTTAAGTCTGTAGGTGTCTCAATTAAGACCAGAATAACTGACAGCATAAATGGAAGGGCGTAAGACTGAAGCTAGCTTTGAAATACGGTATAAGAAAGAAGTGAGGTGAAAATGTAGTAGTGTATGCTAAATGTCAACCCATTGTGTTCCATCATGTCACCAGCAACCTTGAGACTTTCAGATTTTAACAAATACCGTGGCCTTATCTGACTGGTAGCTGTTTGCGACACATAGGAGGTTTTGATTTAGTACACTGGGGTGATTTGCTAAAGACAAATAGACTGGGCAGTCCAGAGCTTCGTAATTGAGGAAAGCTCTGCTGGCTTTCCACCATTCAATCATGTGCAAGCAGTACAGTTTTTTTTTTTTTTTTTTTTTTTGCATGTAATTGTGCATTCTTTGTAAAATGAAGCTTTCCCTCATTTACTAAGCTGTGGGGCAATTGTACTTGCAAAGAGCACAATCTATTTCCCTTTAGTAAATCAAACCCTTTCATACAGGATTCTGTATGTAACCGGGTCTCCTGTTAGAAAAATCACTTCTGTTGCTTATCAGTTTCTATATTTTTTTCTGACTAATATTTCAATT